CCTGTGTCCACTTCCCTTCTCCTTACCCTTGAGAGCCTTGCACGGGGAGCCCCACGTGTGGGCCAGCTGTGTGGGGCCCTCCCTGTCCCTACTACACTTACTGTCACCAACACCAACCAACAGTTACTGGACTTAAAAAGGATGCACTCCTTCTGCCAGAGCTAGAATCAGGCAAACAAAACGAGAACACTCCGAATAAAACAACAAGGACACAGCACTTAACAGAACAAACAAAATATTTGCTTTGGGCTTTGTTAGAGGCCCTGTTCGTGATTACTTACAAGGAAGCCTGTGAATCTTTTCTATTCTCCAAAACTTCTGAAAAGAACTGGCTGTCCTACATTATTTAAGTGGAGAATGGAATGTATTTTGCCACCCAAGAACAATATATAACTGAGAGAAGCATTTTTTTCTGAAACAGATATTCAGTCCAAAGCCCTTGCCAGCTGAGAGTTCGGGGCTCACTCCTGCCCCATACATTTATAGGTTCATTTTCAATGTTAATGAAATTTTTACAAGCTTGTTTGTTTATTTTTTTGGGTACCAGGAATTGAACTCAGGACCTCACACTTGCCAGGCAGGCGCTGTGCCACTGAGCTAAATCCCTGGCCCCTGTTTGTTTGTTTGAGACAGGATATCCCTATGTAATTCAGGTTGCCTTTGAACTTACTATGTGGCCCGAGCTATCCTTGAATGCCTGGCCATGGTGTTACCTGAGCCTCCCAAATGCCAAGATGACAGGTGTAGACCATCATGTCGGGTTTGTTCCTTCTTTCGTGTATTTTAAACACATATTCACTAGTCAGAACTTTGTTTTAACCTAGAGATTTTTGAAACTTAAATTCAGACTTATAATTAAAGGCCAGAAAAGTAAGGGGAAGGGAAGAGTCAAAATAGGCAGGGTAAATAGGAAAGGACTTTACTATCAGTTCAAAAAAATATCCTAAGTGGAAAATATGGCCTACTACTGATCGGTGACTTCCTATTTCCCCTCTCAAAGTTTACAAAACTTTAATTAATTTTAGAACTTTGATGTACATGAGAACCGTCAGAGAATCTGGTTGAAGTGCACATTTGGATTTAGAGTTTCTGTGAGGGGGCCTGGGATCCACATTTTTAAAGTATTTCCATGTGCTGTTGGTAGCAAGTGTACAGACTCCAAGAAGCTGGAATCAAACCTTCAGAGTTCAGAGGTCTTACTTCTGCTGTAGAGGGTGCTCTGCAGAAAGGTAGCCTGGAACCTGCCTTATGGGGTACCTCAAAGCCGATCCTTAGGACTCAGATCTACATTTACTGGGGTCATGTTATGTATGGGGAATCTATACCTGGGTCTTTCTGTTCTCAGAGCAACCAAATGAAGTGGGTACAATGCTATTAATAATGATTATTACCTTTTATCTTACAGATGGAGAAACTGAGGCTTGCCCAAAGTTGTAAGCTTTTCAGGAGAGCAGAACCCAGGTCCATCTGGCACTTGTAGCCCATGGAGCATAACACTAAGTTTGTCATAAAGGCACAATATTTCTTTGGATGAATTATTCGTTTTAATTTTATGAGTTTTATTATATTAAACAATGTGTGCTTAACAGGAAAAACGTCACAAAAATGTATTGAGTTTTTAATATTTACTGAATGTTTATTTAAAAAGCATCAAAATTTTCACATTGACTATTTTTGGTGTACAAAGTCTAAAAAAAAACACAAATAAATTCTTATATGAAATACAATGAAAATAACAATAGCACTTTATGAAAAAATAATCTTTGCTTCAACTATCATACCTAAGGCACTCTGCACACGTGACAACAACACGTTCCATACACACATAGTGTTTACACTGAGAGCACATGAGTTTTGTTTCCCTGGCCTTTCTGTAGGACATATCTGCATCTCAGGAGTCTTGCTGTTTTGTCAGGAGGTTCTTATTATATTATATAGTGTGTAGTTAGTAGGAACATAAAATATCAATAAAATAAAGTATTAAATTCTTAATATGTATTGTGCATTTAGCATAGACAACAGCATTTTTGCATCAGCTGTGTACCTGCTTTCAAAACCTAAAAGATAACATCAGAAATAAATTTCTATGTGAATTAAAATGAAAATATCAATAGAACTCTAGCACAAACTAAGCTTTGCTTCAATTGCCACACCCAAGGCAGTCATCACACACGAGAACTGCATGTTCCATGCACACGTCTCATTTATACTGACAGCACATGTGCTTTCCTTTCCTTTCTTATGTGGCAGTTTTGTCACCTCTCCTTTCCTGTGTTGTTAGGAGCTTCCTACTGTACTGTACGACATGCACTTAGCAGGGATATATGATATCAATAAAATAAAATATATAATGAGTGCTTTGAATAGACATCAACATTTCCGTATCAGGTGTTTACGTGCTTACAAAACCTAAAAGACAGCATCAGAAATAAAAAGATATGCAAACTATAATGTAAACACAAACAAAAGTCCACCACAGAAATAATCTTTGCTTTAACTGTCACACCCAAGGCAGTCTTCACACATGATAACTGCATGTCCCAAACACAAGTATCCCTTAAACTGATAGCACGTATGTTTTGTTTTCCTGTCCTTTCTTGTTGACAGCTTTTTTGTTTCTTTGTTGCCGTAGTAGGTCTTTGATGCTGTGCCTGTCCATTAGCCTAGCAGCTCACCAGTGTGCTGCAAAATTTTTTCTTTACATAGTTTCCTGGGCAGAAATGTTTTGTTTTTCCTCTGATCTCTTATGAGTCGCAGTCCCAATCCTCTAAGGAAATTTCTCCATGGTATTTTGCACTTCTTATAGTCTTTGTAAACTATCAAACTATTTATGCCATACATATTTAGGATTGAGTAAAACAGAACCATTGGCCAGTGCTTTGTGTTTCAAGTGGCATCATAGTTGCTGCATAACTCATCATCAATTTTTACTCCACATGTGTTTGTTTTTCATTTTCAGTTTCAAAGATACTGCTTATATATTTTTTAATTTCAAAGAAAAAATAAAAACAATGGTATAAAGTTTCAAAACAAGACTATAGGAGAGTAACAATTGTTAGTACATTGTGTATTGTTATCTTCAAAATAGTTGTTCATATTACAAGATACAGGCATGAAAAATTGATCAAGCAATTGTTTTTGTTGTAGAAAGTTTCCATCCCAGCTTCCATTTTGTTGAGGTTTCCCTACCAGTATTTTCCCATCATGGTGAAATGTTGACATTAGCAATACCAGTTTGTTTTTCTTTGCCATATATGAGGCCAATGTTATATCTTTCTGAAATCCAAAGATTGTACTATGTAATTCCCTGTTGTGAAATTGCAACAATTTTTGGAATTTCTGTTTTGTTCCTGTGTACAGTTCCTATGCTGGTCAACTTGTGCTCTGCTAGCAAATGTAACATCAATTAGAAACTGGTAAAGCAATTGTCCAATGTCATGTTCCAATTAGTTTGGGACATGGGAGCAGCAAGTCTGCTCCCATCATTCAGTTTATTACTATTGGAATAGGAGCCTGATGGCTGAGTTCCAGGATAAACATCTAAATTAAAAACATAATAAGACTTTGCATCTACTAGGGCATAAATGTTTATACCATATTTTGATCATTGCTTTTTCATAAGTCCTTTACATTCCTGTGACCACCATAAGAAATCCCTGTTAAGGTCAGCAGACCCATGAATGCTTTCAGTTCAGCTAATGAAGTGTCATAATAAATACAGTTTTGAATATGACTATTGATGCATACAGAACATTTTGCTTGCATTTCATTCTTTGTGCTTTTCATAACATCTTGTAGCATTTTGTCTGTTACAGTTTCCAACACTGAATGACAGTGCTGGTATTTTGTCTAATACGTTTTACCCCTGCCAAAACGTGCATTATATTTTTGGAACTAGTTATAACATTGGATCATTCCATTTGGTTCCATGGTCATTTTGAAACATTTTGACTAGTCAAATATATACTCATATAGCTGTTTTCTTCCTCACCTGAATCAAGAAGGTTGGCATTCCCCTTGTCTGTATCAGTCAATTCTTGCTCCATTTCACTGTCACAAGAACACATGGCCCATGTCAAAGTCATCATCATCATCATCCTCCCACACCATTCTTCTGTTATGAAATTTTATCATAATGGATCATCTTTATCATCCAGGCATGTATAAACTGATGATTCACTTTTGACCTCCTCCAAAACTTGCAAATCTGTTTCTTCATGTGCCATTGTATTGAATTGGGCTACTTCTACCAGAAAAATCAAAACAAAACTTTTTTTCTTACAAAAACAAATCCTGGAGTGGTGTGGGTCTATTCGACCCTCTGTGATGCTCAGGTAAACATATGCCAAGCCAGTTGGCCCATAACATGGGTAAAAATCCCGCTTTGCCATTTTTGTATGTGCACACACCTTGCTGTTCATCATAATAAGAGGGTAAACACAGATTACTTCCTGTATCCTTCAGGGAAATGTATTGAGGTACACAGCTGGCTACTATTGCGCTAAAGTACAAATTTACAATAAAAAGGGATGAGGCTGCTGGACCCAGTGCTATGCTCCGTTTAAAAGGAAGACTCTGGCATTTCAGTTTCCTGTGCTGCGAAACGACCGGTGGGCAGGTACCTTTCCTGACAGATACACCTAGAAGAGTTTGCTATTTCTTCTCAAGATCTTGTTCTTCGACCCTTTGGAGAAAAGTTCTTTTTGAGAACACCAGACCCCCTCCTTATTCAGGTCAGGGGTGCTCAGGCTGCTCCTGGGAAGAGTCCAGCAGTCCATGTGTGAACTCGAACTCGGACGAGAGCCTGCTTGCTACATTACATAACCGCGAGGCGTCCTGCCTCCCGGAGACCCTGGCCCAGGCCAAGCCTCAGCAGTAGCGCGGGGATCCCACAGATAACCTCCCTTGGACTGCGGGGCAGAGTCCCTTGCGGAACTGGCGGGACTGAGCGAGCGAAGGCTTTTCCCTGGCCAGCAGCTGGGGTTGCCCCACAACGCTCTCCTCCCGCGGCACTTTCCAGAGGCCCCAGGCTGAGCCCTGCTGGCGCCTCCCGCGGTTGGCTCCCCGCCCCTCGGAAGCGCGGACCGCTGCGCCTGGGGCCAGAGGAGGGGCCCGCGCAGGGACGGGCTCGGCGGGTCCGTCCGGGGACATGTCTGCTCGCCACCGCCACCAGGGCTGCAGCGGTCCCAGCGAGGTGAGGACGGCGGGGCTGGGCTGGGGGCGCGTGACGAGGCCTCGCGCGGGGGTCCGGGCTGCCTGCGCGCTTTGTGCCGGCTGCGGAGCGCTGGAGCTCGGTCCCGTCCAGCCGTCTGGGGCGCAGTCCCGCGGGCGAATCCAGCCTGCGGATCGCCAGAGCCAGGGCTGGGAAACTCCCTTGGCTCACCCTCTTCCCGCTGTCCAACTTGGTTGTGCCGAGGGTGCGGTGGCTCGGGTGACTCGGGCATCCTTTGAAGCCAGAACGGGGCTTAAGGCTGGGCTTGGAGCTGGCCGAAGACGGGGAAGCTCCAGTCTCCCTCCCTGTGTGCAGCCCACGCCTGATTCCAGGACCCTCACCTGGGTCGCTGGGCAAGCTTGCTGGGTAAGGGAGAGACTGGTGCCAACTCTGTTACGCCCGCTCCAGTCGTCTGGGAGCAGGTGGCAAGAGAAAGAGCCGTTCTGATCTCGGGCTCCTGAGTTTACCAAAGGCAGCTTTCCAAAGTTTTCCTGGATTCTCTTGTGTTCATTACATTTTTAATGGCAGTAATATGTATTTCCCTAGCGTGATCTATTAAAACACACCTGCCTTCACAGTTTTTAATGGATTAAATTTAATATTAATAGTATGTATTACCACAAGGCAAAGCAGTGCGAACTTTAGTGCGAGCTCACAACTCAGCATTCTAAATCAAACACTTCCATTTTAAAGGGCCTCGAATTAGTTCCCTCTAAATGATTCTTAGTTGAAAGCTCGCCATTCCAGAAGCCCCGCCAGCTTGGCCCAGGAGGAAAATCTCCAGCCTGCCAAATTCAGAAACACACTGTCTCCACAGGTATCCAAGCTGCCCGCCTTTTGAAATCATCAGCTGCCCCCCTGCATGACCTGTCCGAGGGCCAAAGTTGTGCAGGACTAGGGCTCACAGTGTTGGAGCCTCCCGAAGTGCCCAGCCTGTGTGTACTGCAGAAAAGAAGAGGGGGAAAGCAGTACGGAGTGACTGAACTTGGTCACTTAGAATTAGAGGCTCTCAGCCCTGACAAGGGTTTCAGAGATCGTCTGATCCAAACTTTTCACCTCACAGTCCAGGGTCCCCAAGGGGCTCAACCGTTAATCAGATGGAGCCAGCTCAGGGAGCCAGGTCTTATCTTTCCCATCTACGTCCGCATACACAGCGCATTGCTTCCAGGCATTCTCACCAGAGTCACCTAGTCATAATTTTCTTGTCCTATTTATTTATTTATTTGTTTGTTTATTTATTTATTTATTGTTGAGACAGGGTCTTGCTGTGTAGTGCAGGCTGGCCTTGACTTGCTTATGTAGCCCAGGCTGGCCTCGAACTCAGGCTCCTCCTGCTTCATGCTCCAGAGTGCTGGGATTACAGGTGTGCGCCACCATGCCCAGCTATCCTTTTATAACTGAGAGGATTGTAAAACAGATGAGACAGGTCCAGTTAGTTTAACTCACTTTGTAGTATAACTGAAAATTAACAATCCTTAGTTTTGAGTAATATTTACTTTTTTTTTATGTTGAGTATATAGATGCACCCCAGGTTAAAAAAAAAGTAATCAGTCAAAACAGAGTAAGCCCACTCACATCTGTCTTTGGGTTTCTTCTAATTCTGTGGTCTCTGTGGTGGTGACACGTTAATGGCAATAGAGCTGGCTTGAGAAACGTGGCCTGTTGGAGGACCACTCGTTTGCTGCGTTTAACACTATAACCTATAGTAGAAGTCATGGCTTGCAATTCAAACTGACTTAGCATTGCACTGGACTACATATTTTTTTACATTTAATTCAATTTAACACATTTATTGAGTACCTACTACTGCTTAGTGCTTTGCTGGGCATTTTGGATACGGCAGTGAACAAAACAAAGAACTTTGATCCCTAGAACTCCAGTTACAGTTATTCCTGAGAGTTTTCCAGGACTTTGTTAGGCAGATAGAAGAGGCTGTCAGTTTTGCCTAAAGAATGGAAATAAACACAAATGATCCAGTCTTTCTTGCTTCTGATTCCATAAATCTGTCGCTCTTATAGTCGTGGAAAATGGACAGACAAAATACTCAGATGAAGTTGCTTTGACTTTTATGCACTTTCTATGGTATTTGAATAATAGTTCTCACCTTTGTTTAAAGTATGTTCATTTGTAATCCATTTCCTTTATTGCAGCAACCTCACTGTGGTGATTTTAAAGTTAATGAAGCATGGAAGGATATTTTCTAAAAGTGTGAATTCCACTGTGTTGGTGCTGGAGCCTGTAATTGTGTTAGCTTGTAAAAACTGTTCTGGTTTTACTTTACTCACTTTGCATCTTCCCCCCACTCTCGGTCGTAATCATAGGGTACAAAGAGTTGTGACTTATTGGTACACCTGTCACTATGGTAGTTCTTTCTTTAAATCAGAAATTTCAGTGTTAAGCACTCCCTAATCCTCTCAATTGCGTTTTCCTCAAAACAGCATGATTTGCAAGTTCAGGCATGTTTGTTGTTTTTACCAAAGACTTATCAAAGTGAACTTGGCAGTTGTGTGGTTGTATACAGCCAAATAAAAGTTCAGTGCTGTTTTTGTTTGTTTGTTTGTTTTACATTCTTCACCTAACTGATTGCTTTGCTTTTAAAAATCAACAAGTTAAAAGCTGTTTTCTTAGAAGTACATTTTTAGTATACTGAAAAAATTCATCCGTTAAAGTTGTATAATTTGAGAAAAAACATATGCACAGTTGAAGATTTAGGAAGATTTTAAGCACGAAGACCCTGTCACTGTTTTGAATTTGTTTGCAATCAAAGGACGTTAGAAAGTGTCATTATCTAGCAGTGTCCTATTTAAATGTGGTCTCTGTTCAATACTTGGAAAGAGTCACCCTTTCCGAAGGCTGCTAGGCACACAGAGTAGTTAATTATTTTCTTCATTCAGGAACCACTTTGCCCCACCAGATTTGTATCTCTTTTCTTTTACTGTACATTGATGATAAAGTGAGTTCCTCTAGCCAAGTAGCAAGTTATATGTCATTAAGTATTTAACACACTATACTCATTAATTTATTGATTTAATAAACATTATTGAACTACTTCCTTTTCATGATTTGTGTAAAGGCTATACTTTGAGCCCCTCTTTTTCTGTGCTGATGGTGATAGAGGATACAAAGACACAGAAGTAGCTCGCACCCTGACCTCACCCTCCTCTTCTTTCTCCTTCTCCTTGGAGGTCTTGTGCATACTAGCCAAGCTCTGTCACTGAGCTACATCCTCTTCCCCACGTGCTTCTTTTTGAAAACAGATGGGAGACTTCCTGGTAGGGACATGTTGGGTTGTGTAAGAGACACTTGATTATGTCTGAATCCATTGATATTGAGGTAGTGGAGTACTGACCAACACTCAAATAACTCATTGCACTAGCGAATGTTCCCGTTCCCCACTGGAAAACGCACTGATTATTGCTCGGAGCACACAGGTCACTGTAGCAATAGCTATCATATAATAAATTGGTATGTCTTGTTTTTTCTTGCTCAGGTGCACATTTACTGTGGTGTTTAGTCACAGTCCTGTTTATGCCAGTTGTATTTGATACTGTAATTTTGCAATCTAATTAAATATCACATAACCAATTTAATGTGAGTGCCAAAACAGAGTGCTGTTTCTAGGAAGACTAAGTTGATGTCCATATGGGCCCATGTATTAGCGTCACATTACTGTAATGAAATACCTGAGATAATTACCTTGTAAAGAGAAAAGATTTATTTTGACTCAAGGCTTTGGGAATTCCAGTCCAAGATTAAGCAGACTCACTGCTTTGTGTCTGTGGTGAGTGAGCTGTGTAGTAAAGGTGAGAATGCATGGCTGAAAACATTCACTATGCGTCCACGGAGCCAGCCCAAGGCATGTGCTGCATGCCACCCTGAACACCCTGAATGCGGCTCATGTAATTGTGCAAAATAAACTTAACATTACTTTGTGACTTGTAGCTATATTTTCTACTACTCCATTGCAGGTGGTCTGGTGTGAGCTGCGTCGGCAATAAGAGAACACTAAGCAGGGCAGGGCTAACTCTTCCCCTTGCACCCACCACACACAGTGGCATTGCAACCCGTGTATATCAGTTCAATGTCATATACTTGTATGCAGCTTGACAAGTAAAATGCAGTAACTACTAATAATACTATTTCAGCCTACCTGCATTTTGTGTGCCAGGGAAGACAGGCACTTTTTGTTTTTAAGCAGATGTGAAAGTATTCTTATTTAATTATTAAAACTTTGGCTTGTGTTACTTCATAAAACAATTTAATAAATTAAAATATTAAAAAAAGGAAGATTTGTTAGTTATACACAATACTATATCATATGTCTTTTTTGTTTGTTTGTTTGTTTTGTTTTTCTCCGGTACCGGGAACCAAACTCACGACCTTGCGCATGCCAGGCAGGCGCTTTTGCCGCTGAGCTAAATCCCCAGCCCCTATCATATGTCTTATATGCAGCTCAAGATGACTCTTTTTTATTCAGTGTGGCCCAAAATCAAAAGGTTGGACACCTGTTTTATTTTATTTTATTTTTATTTTCTTTTTTTGAAATAGGCTCTTGTTAGTTAGTTGAGTCAGCCTTGAACTCACAATGTATCCTAGACTGACCTTGAAGTTGAGGTGCTCCTCCTCCCTCAGCTGCCTAAATGCTGGGATTATAGGTGTGTACCAGACCCAACTTGGACACTTGTGTTTAACATATGGAACTTTGGAGAGAAATTCAATATCCAAATTATGACAAACAGCCATTAAAATAAGACATGTTTATGAAACAGCCATATATTTTGTGAAAAGAATGAACCTTGAAAACATACAGTAAGTTAGACACATAAGACTACATATAAGAAGTATGATTCTACTTATTTGAGATGTCCTGGAAAAGCAAACCCAGAGACAAATAGATTACTGGTTGCGAGGTGTGACTGATAGTGGTGCAGAGCTTCTTTTTGGAGTGACAGCTGTGTTCTGGGATTAGGTGATTGTGATGG